TTCTATTCTATAACAAATAATATATACAATATAATATATATATATATATATATATATATATATTTATGAATGTATATATATATGTGTGTGTGTGTGTGTCCGCAATCGCAATTGAGCATACACACTCTAATTGAAAATGTCTTATCGTATATTTCAGGATGTGCTGAAAATATATGCGTACAGGTTGAAGGATACCGAAAAGGCCGTGGCATACTGCACAAAACTTTACAAAAATGGTATGTGGATTAGTATCCTATCTGAAGTCCATTTGGTCGAGATAGTGGTTTATTTGTAGATACTGTGTGGTTTAATTTGTGGATACAATAGTTTATTTAAATATGTAATTGCATATTTATAGATACAGTGATATATTTGCAGATACAGTGGTTCTTTATAGATGACAGTGAGCTCTTTATAGGTACAGTGATATATTTATAGATACGGTGAGATATTTATAGATACGGTGAGACATTTATAGATACAGTTGTATATTTATAGCTACAGTGTACAGTGATATTCTTATAGATACAGGGAGTTATTTATAGATACAGTGAGTTATTTATAGATACAGTGTACAGTGCTATATTTATGGATACAATGAGTTATTCATAGATATATAAGTGAAAACATCCGTATTCAGACGGTCCATTCAATACCCCCAGACTCACCCACTCACCCCAAACCCAATGCCATGCACTACCACCCGCACACATAACATAGGTGGAACACAAGCCTACCTCTCTCTGCTGAAGATCCTCGTGTCTCCAAACGACACAGACACCAGCGACAACGAACCCGACGAAGACACTGGGGAGAGTGAACACACCCAGGCACTAGACCTACACCTACACCCAGGCCTAGACGTAGACCATGGCGATGTGCCTGTAGCCGAGGGAGTGAGTGGCGACGTATTCCGCCAGAGAGTGCCTATGATCGAGCCTGCGCTCAAGCTGCTCACAGAACACGGAGATAAGATCGACACCATTGAGGTGGGTAGGGTGTGGGAAAGGAAAAAGCAGAGTGGCGATGGGGGTCACGGGGTGTGTGTTAGTTAGTGGCCGGGGTGTGGTATACGGGAATACGTAGTGGATGTGTGGCATAAAGGAACACGTTCTGGCGGATGTCTGCCACGGGTGGGTGTGGTATAAGGGAATACGTATTGGCGGATGTGTGGCATAAATGAATACATATTGGCGGATGTGTGGCATTAATAAATACGTACTGGCGGATGTGTGCCACGGGTGGGTGTGGTCTGTTGATAACTGGTGGGTGTGTTGTCATTCCGTTCGGTTGGAATGTTGTTGCGGTTTATGGATTGTGTTTGGAAGAGTACGGTGGCTGTCTCGGTCGTATTGCGTTGCTCAATGGGAATTTGAAATAGAAATCGGGACTGGGATCTCCGTTCAGCCACTTTTCGTTGAAATATTTGGGGTTCATCACGTTTGTTTGTTTTTTTAGGGCTGACATTTTGGTCCTTGCGAAAGGCTGCGCATAAGGAGATTATATAACATGCACCTGGGCATGTCTAAAAACAATCACACACACGCACACAATACACAATACACAATGCACATCTATAATGGTTCATGCTTGTAAACACACATACACACACACACACATAATACACAATGCACATCAATATTGATTTGTGCTTGTAAACACACACACACACACACACACACACACACACACAATACACAATACACATACCGAATGACTTCCTCTCGTTGTCTCTATACAGGCGCTGAACGCTCTCCCACGCGACTGTCAGTTGTCGTCGGTGTATCCGTTTCTCAACACCATGATGCAGTCCACAGCCAAACGGTGGCGCATGAATCTGTTGATCAAAAACCTAGCCAAGTCACTCCATCTGAAGGTAAAGATGTTTAATCATACACACACACACACGACTCACAAACACTCCATCTGAAAGTAAAGATGCTCAACCACACACACACACACACGACTCTACAGTACAACGTCCTTGACACGTGTG